AGAAATTTGGGGACACACACACAAGCTGGAGTTTTGACCATTGATCTAGACCAGGGGTTGGCAAACTGCGGCTTGCCAGCCACATGCGGCTCTTTGGGTACGTTCCGTCTCAAAAGTTTGCTGACCCCTGGAAGAGCCAATCCTGTCTCTCACAACAATTTAAAAATTATTCGAGAGCCATAAAAAGATTTTTACATAATCACCGTCATGTGAATAATATCCTTTAAAAATTTATAAATGAAACTATGATAGATTTATTTTCATTTTCAGTTTTACTTCAGAGCCACATGTACGTAACCCGAAGAGCCACATGTGGCTCGCGAGCCGCAGTTTGTGGACCCCTGGTGGCTCTTCCGTCTCAAAAGTTTGCCGATCCCTGATCTAGGCTGTTGTAATCATAGAAAATACCTTATTGTATTCTGTCAAATGATTTTTATTTTCACATTCAGTTTATTTTGGATATTCATTGAAAATATACCTTTAAAAATTATTTCCATTTAACATTGTATATGCATTGGATGATTAAAATAATTGTTGTAAACAATTATTCAGTATTAAGTCATCTTAGCACTTGTAGGCAGTTGTTTGTCAAGGTAGGATCTACAGATCCTGGTATTTTCCAGTCTTCCATATCATCAGCTGATTCTATAATAAAAGAAACATCTATTTTCCTAATCCAAAATTCTTACTCTGGCCTGTCATATAATGTGGTTGTTCTGAAAATATGAACGGGGTTTAATGCGTGGAAGTGGTAGATGTTTGCAATTTCTTATTCAGGATGAAACTGCTTTGGTATATGTATAGAGGGAGTTGGAAGAAGTAGCAGTTTTCATAGTTTGGGTCATTGTGGCGGTGGCTAATATGCAGATGCCGCTGCCCAGAGAAGAGAATGAGAAGAGAGCCGCCTTCCCAAGACTGCCCTGGCCATGGCAGGAAGCTGAGAGTGTTACAGTTTAATGAATAATTTCTTCTTCCAAATGTTTTTATTTCAAAAGAATTTCATACTTAGAGAAAAGTCGTAAATAAAGTACAAAGAATTCCTTTATATCCTTCACCTAGATTTGTCAAATGTTTATAATATTTTATCATGGTTCCTGTTCTCTCTCTCTCTCTCTCTCTCTCTCTCTCTCTCTCTCTCTTTCTCTTTCTATCTATCTATCTATATCTATCTATCTATCTATCTATATATATATATACACACACACACACACACACACACACACACACACATATTGTTTTTTTCTGTGTCACTTGAGAGTAAGTTGCCCCTTTATAATACTTCAGGGTGTATATCTTAAAATCAGAGTCATTCTCTTATTCATTATCATAATCAAAATCAAAACATGCAGTTTTTAATTTAACAAATATTTGCTTACATTGGGCAAAGGTGAAATGAAAGTATAGGCTTGCAAACTATTCTAGTTGCTTAAGGGAATTACAGTGTATTCAATGGGTATTAAGTCCATTCTTCTATATTAAAATAAGATCTGTATTAGAATAAGATATGTGCTGTTACAAGATTTACATCAGATACACAACAAGTTATTTTAGAACTATTAAGAAGCAGACGATAATTTCAACCTAGGGAATCAGGGAAACACTTCTTGGCTGGTGCAGAGTCAGTCCAGGACAGGTGAAAGCACCCGGCTGAAGGACAGTAGGACAGATTCATATCCCAGAGTTCATCCTCCCTCTTATCTGTCCTTGACAATGGAGGTTCTGAGAATGAATGTGTTATTGCAGCAACTCAGGACTGTAATATCAGGATGCGTAAGATAGGCTCTGTTTCCACAGAAGTTGATACAGTGCTGTTTTCATTTTCATTAATAAAATTTAACTCTGACATTATTGAGCTAAGAAGAACTAGATTTCCTTTCCTAAGCACTTGTCCTTAGGTTGTTTTTCAATAATACCTTCTTGATTATGAAAGATGAGAAGTAATGGAGTTGATTAGTTGTAATTACTTTACAGGAATGGAAGGAATGTTTTTTTAAAACTTAATTAAGCCACTGTCAATCTAGAGTTGAAGGGATAGTCGCTGTTTTTGTGTTTCTAGCGTTTATATATTAAAGGTTATGTATGTAAGCTATTCTTACGTTCACTATAGATTCTGAATTAATAGAAAGGATTTTAAAAAGTGCTATGGTATATAATTTTCAGATTTTGCTTATTTAAGATAAAAAGAAGTGAAATAGACACACTTAGACTGAAAAAAGATTGTAGCAAAATTCTGAAAACCCAGCTACTGAAAATTGCTTATGATTAGCTGGGTTCTTTAGTATTAAAATTTTATAAATTGTTGTAGAGTAAGGTTTATAATGCCAACCATGTTTGTGTGGAAAATTATAAAAGTGTTTCATGGGTGTGTAATTCTTAAGCAAATGTTTTAAGAATTTGTTTTAAATTTATATAAATGTTTACATGTGGATTTTTAGTGTTGGAGTTTTTTTGGTTTTGAGTTCACATATACATCCAGACAATGTTTTACAGTGTTAATGTTTGGTCCTCTGGCAAGGGTATTTCCATAATGGAAGTTCAGACTATTTAATAACACATTTTTTCTTTTGCAAGCTGTTACTTCTTGTTTTCTGGTTTTAAAGAGTAAAGTAGGTGAATTTTTAGATCTTTTCTTTGGTATCTGGTTTCCTAATTGCTTCTCTTTTTAGAAATGAATGCATTTTGACAGTGCCATACTAAAAGGGCTGTAATTGAGATGAATTTTCTATAGAAAACAACTTTTGTCAGCTGATTTTTGAATTCTTCAATCTCACCTTTTATACCATTGGGTAATATATGCAAAATTTGTCTTCCTGAAGTGTTCAGTGCTAGGGTTCAGGATTGGGGAGCATAGGGAGCTACATGCTGAGACTGTACTTGCAGAAGAGCACAGTATGTGTTGAGCAGGCCAAAGCTGTACCCACATTCTTTCATCTCCTTTATAAACCCGATGTCCTAGTTTCTAAGCTATCTTCATAATGTTTGAATGGTTCTTGTGAACATTTTCCTGCTGCTTTGTGTCCTGTTCACAACTGTCTGTAAAATTCAAAGATGAGTTTGGTCTGCAAAAGTTAAAAACATAACGTGGAGCGCTGATATCTGGGAAAGTCTTTATAAAATTTTGATCCCCAACAGCATACTAACCTTACATGTCTAACTTTATTATTATTATTATTATAAAAGACATACATATATAATCGTTTTTTGGACTCCTCTTATCGGATATTCCCCAGGCATAGTTAAGTAACCCAAAACAACATTATCTCCAAATCTTAATGTAGTCTGTTTTTTAGAGAATTTAGAAGCTAGTAAGTGCTGTACCAGTATATATGTGTATCGCTGTTACTGAAACTAAGATCAAATAATTACATTCTAGATTATAATATAAAACATTTAGTTTAGAATTAAATGAAAGTTTCCATTGTTTCATGATACAGTCATGATACAGTCATGAGGGAGGTGGCAACATGGTATCCTGGAAAACCTAAATGCTCGAAGGTGTCCATTGCATGTAATGAATTAGTTTCTCTCCTGTGCATCTAAAAGGGTACTAGTTAGATACTAGTTAGATACATCCTTGAGAAAATTGGAACAATAATCGCTCAAGTCATTTTTCATAACTTCTGTATATTGTGCAGCTGTGTGGCCATGTGCAAGTCACTTAAAATCTTTTGTCCCCTCAGTAACATCTTTAGAAAAGGAGATAATAGAATCTACTTTCAAGGATGATACTGTATTCAAAGTGTCCAGCACTATAATTGGTAACTATAAGTTTAACATAGCACCTTAACTGCTATATAAAAATCAGCCTTTGTTAATACTTCATTGTTTCAATGTCCATGTCATTAGAAAACAGCATATTACAGGGAGTCAGAATATAGAATTTGAAGTCACAAACTTCCTGCATTGGAATTTCAGCTCTGCCACTTAACTTTGTGCTATTGGGCAAATTATTTATCTTCTTTAACTTTGGGTTTCTCAAGCATAAAATAAGGTTCTAATAGTAATAAAATTAAATGGGGTTTTATATATATATATATATATATAAAATATATATATATATATTTTTTAATTGGGGAATTGGGGGAGGGGAACAGTGTTGGGGAATTGGGGAAGGGGACCAGACAAGTTGTTGTTCTTTAATCTTAGTTGTGGAGGGCGCCAGTCGTCATCTGGCTGCCCATCGGCAGCTCGTGGCCTCTAAGTTAGATGTGCTCTGTTCAATCTTAGTTGCAGGTGGGTGTAGCCACCATCCCATGTGGGAGTTGAACCAGCAGTCTTGTTAAGAGCGCATGCTCTATCCACTGAGCCATCCGGGTTGCAGCTCAGCTAAAGGTGCTGAGTTCAGTCTTAGTTGCGGGTGGGCATAGCCACTATCCCATGCGGGAGTCGAACCCGGCAGCCTTGTTGTTAAGAGCACATGTTCTATCCACTGAGCCATCTGGGCGGCAGCTCAGTTCAGGGTTCCCAGTTCAGTCTTAGTTGCGGGCAGGTGTAGCCCACCATTGTACAGGCAGTCTTGTTAGGAGCACTGCTCTCACCAGCTGAGCCATCCTGCATCCTGTTGGCAGCTCAGCTTGGGTTCAGCGTCACTGGCCCAGGTGGGAATTGAACTGGCAGCCCTGTTCCTCAGAGCTTGTGCTCTTAAGCTAACTCTTAACCAACTGAGCCACTTGGCTGGCCCTAAATGGGGCTATATTTGAACGTGCTTAGGACACTTCATGACACATTCTCAGCATCAGTAAATGTTAGCTTTCAACAGTTACTTTCAGTACAGTTATTGTATAGTTATTTATTACTGCATAAGAAATTAATTCAAAAAGTAGTGGCTTAAAATAATAAGTATTATCTCCTTTTTTCTGTGGGTCAGAAATTCGGGAGCAGCTCAGCTGGTTGGGTCTGGTTTGGTTGTCTCTCATGAGGTTGCAGTCAAGAGGTCAGCAGGGCTACAGTCACCTGAATGTTATTTTGAACCTAATGGCTGTAAATCTTCTATTTTGCAGACTATGTCTTCAGCAGTGGTACAGTTATATGCAGCAGATCGGAACTGTATGTGGTCAAAGAAATGCAGTGGCGTTGCTTGTCTCGTTAAGGACAATCCACAGAGATCTTATTTTTTAAGAATATTTGATATCAAGGTGAGTTTTGTTTTGCTTGCACTTTAAACTGTAGGTGAATTGGTTTTCTACTTCAGTGATAATTTAGTGTAGATTTGTTTATCGTGTGTGTAATATTTAAATCATAATTTAATTGATATTAGAAGAATGAAGCTTGGTTTTAGATATTGCAGCGTGGGCATTCGGCATTGCGATCAAATGGGAATATGTCCTCAACCAGAACATGAACAGTCCCTAGTTTGTGTTTCTGCTGCCTTTGTTTGCTTGTGTGTGTGTGTGTTTGTTTGAAGCCTTTGGGGTTTGGGCTTTCCCCGCACTCTCTCCTTTTCTATTGATACTCTTTTATTCCATCCTACCTATTACAGACTGGTGTACATAGCCCTTTCAGAGGACTATAAAAGTATATTTTGGTTTGGTATGTACTTCAGCCCACATTTAAAGCATTATACGATCTTTATAATAATATATTTGCTACCTTTAAGTTTTCCTTTAAGTTTCTCAACATAGGTATGTTCAGGTTTTCAGTTTTGTGTCCCTCACTGAAACATAAATCCACATTGTCCTAGATTGGATGCCCCTTGTCAGGTATTCATCTCTTATAGTTACTGTGAAAGTAGTTCTCTTGCTGAGATGAAGTCTCCATTTATCTTTTAAAACCTTTTCCATAGGCAAGCCTCTTTGCTTAATAGTTATATGTGGATTGTAATGGGATTATAATTACAAAAAAATAAAAATAAAACTGACTTTGAACTCTTGGACAATCCTTATGGTTAGATAGATTATAGTCAAACTTGTATTTCTCTGGGCCTCAGCTTATTTATTTTTAAAATGGAATAACCATCTGTGTCTGTTGTAAAGTATTTCCCTGAGATTAAATGAAATTTAAGTTACTGCACTTTGTCAGTTGGGACCTCTTAACATCCACTTCCCCATACCCTGAGACAGGTGAGACATGGGGCACCCTCCTGTTGCTAACAGTGGCACACTATGGCAGAGATTCTGGGGTGGGGGGAGGGGGGAACACATGCAGAGTTAGAAAGAAATCCCTAAGTCCTTTGACATATTTCTCATCACCAATGAAAAAACACTGTTCAGAAATGGAACGCACATGTAACTCCACTGAGAAGAAAGGAATTCCATTGTAGTGGTCATTATGTATACCCAATGTATTTTAGATATTTTTAAATTGTGGTCTAGGTATAACCTTGCATTTCAGAAAAGAGCAGTGATTATGTTTCTCTAACCACTTATTTCCAGTTGCAGATAACCACTGCTGAATACTTGGAATTAGCCCTCATTGGTATTAAGGTTAATTAGATTTCTTACACTGTGGCCATGGATATGACAGCCATCCATGAGTCTCTTAACCACAGTTTAACTGTGGTGCATTCTAATCATTGGTTTCTTTCTGCACATGATTCATACTACTTATGACAGTGTTTAATTAGGCCACTCTGCAAAAGTTTGGAATTCAAAGATTGTAAATGAGCAATAGAGAGAGGATATGTTTGACCCTCCCATTATCTACACAGAATTGAGGAAAAGAGTATGAATATGAAGTCTTTTTGTCATATTGGATAGCACACAATCTATAAATACTGCTGGTGAAACTATGTATTGATAATCAGTGCATGTACAAGAGTATCCCACTCCTTCTGTCTAACGTTGATCATCTAGCAATGTTATAGTTATGTATTTGACCAAGTGTAACTGTATGTGGGAATGCTTGCCTAATGAGATTGATTATATCTCAGCACACTGAATTAAACTTACTTGATCTGTAGTTTTTTAAGACATTATCCAGTTATTAAGAAATTATTGATGAAATTATATGATATGCTCCTTATGGATGAGATGTGTGGTATGTGTGTATGTAAAAGCTACTGTTGATATCAGGAAGCCCCTTAATACTAGTCATCTGCTTTGTTTTATTACTGGAGATTATCTTTTTGGTAACTCTTTAACTTTTACTTTTTTTCTAGGATGGGAAACTATTGTGGGAACAAGAGCTATACAATAACTTTGTATATAATAGTCCTAGAGGATATTTTCATACCTTTGCTGGAGATGTAAGTTGTATTTTTCTTCATTGCTTTGTTTAATGTAATTGCTTTTACATGTGTCTGTGGAAGTCATTTATTTATGAGCTTTTTGTGTAAACAGTGTATAAAACATAAGGAATTATTTTACTTTTAAAAACTTTTTCATAGGTCTTATAGCTAAATAGGAAGAAATGGCTAAGATTTTAAGAGCCCAAAGAGTTTTAAAGAATACTGTAAATGCAATTTGCTATGTAGAAAAGTTTCATTCTTTTTTTATCCTCTCTGTGTCTCTGGGCAGATAGTTTAATCTCTCTGTGTGACTTTGGACAAATAGCTTAACCTTTATGGGCTTTAGTTTTCTTATCTGTAAAAATGAAGTCTTACTTGTTCCCTGTGGTAACTTTTAAATATTGGACATTTTATTGCCATTCAGATTACTTTCTGAAACAATAGTCTATGACCTAGAGGAGTGCTAAAATACAATAAATGGGGGGGAAAACAGAATTTTTTAAATATTGCATATACGTAGGGAAAATATTAGAAAGATTTCTATACCATATGCTTGCAGGGATTGAGTGACAGGATTATGGGTGAATTTAATTTTCTTTGTTTTTATATTTGTATTTTCTAAATTTTCTACAGTGAATAAAAGGTTGGATTAGATAATATATCCATCTTTTCAGACAGTATTTTTTTCTCTGAAATGTGAAAATTTCTTCTTGATAGGATAAAAATATATGTACATATTTTAAAGTGTGCATTAAATGCCATATAATGCCAGTATGTTTCCATATTTTAAATAATTTATCTGAATTAAGGTTACAATTTAAATAATACCTGTAATTAGGCTGTAAAATAAAACCATAAACTAGTAAAGATAGAGTTGACCTGCATTTTACTAACTTTTCCATTGTTTACCTTTTCTAAGCTGAATTATTTACAGAGCTCTATTGAAGGATCAGATTAAATTTGCTACTTTGTTTTTCGTTAAAGTATTCAGTTTAATATTTGAGTATCTACTGTGTTAGGTAACTTTTCTAATAGTAGGCTTTTGTTTTACCTTTTTACTTTTTGCCTTCTTAAGTTATTCAGGTCATAAAATAAGTTCTTGTCTGCGAATAAAGTCAAGCTTTCCTTCTTCACAGATGTACCTCTGTTGGTTATCTACTTTTTCGTTATATAAAGTAAAGCTAAATTTGTGTTTTTTGTTGTTTATCTTTTTTGATGACAATGTTGCAGACTTGTCAAGTTGCTCTTAATTTTGCCAATGAAGAAGAAGCAAAAAAATTCCGAAAAGCAGTTACAGACTTGTTGGGTCGGCGACAAAGGAAATCTGGTAAGCTTTTTTTCATAATTCTTTTAAATAGGAGCTGGCTAACTATAGCTTATCAGACAGATCTGGCCCGCTGCCTATTTTTATAAATTAGGTTTTATTGAAACACAGCTATGCTCATTGGGTTACATATTGTCTATGACTGTTTTATTGCCACAACACAGTTGGATAGTTGTGACAAAGACTATATGGCACAAAAAGCCTAAAATATTTACTATCTGGCCCTTTGCCCCCATCCTCCCCTCTCTCTCCCGAGAGAGAAAGAGAGAGAGAGAGAGACAGAGAGAGAGAGAGACAGAGAGAGACAGAGAGAGAGAGAGAGTAAGGTTGCTAATCCTTACCTTAAAAGAAATGGTATTTTTACTGAGAACCAATTTTTTTCAGATTTACTGAAGACCTCACTCTAATAACCTTTTTTGGTTAACATCCCATATATACTGACTCAGATTTGCATTTTTAAGGAATTGTTCATAACTTACATTTTTAAAAGTACTTTGTACCTTGTGAAAAAATTCTTCAGGCAAGCCTAGAAGCAAACCAGCAAAGTTGCAGGCAAGCTCTGTAAACAGGCCTTGTCTCTGTTTTGTCCCTAATGTTGTAAATTATGAAGCCATAAGAAGCTTAGTTTAATGCATGAGACTTTAATACATATAAAACAATTAGAGAAGGATTCATTGCAGCACAGAGCTCCAAAGTCATTGGTACAGGACTATTTGGCAACAGTGTGCCGGCCTTTCTGTTGTAAAGTAGAAGATGGGTGATTAAGAGGCGACCATCTCCCAAATCGTCTGCGTAAGCAAATCAGTTTTAGGAGAAGTGACATACGGGAGTTGAGATGAGCACATCAATTGCCTTAAAACCAGCGATGCCTGTTTATTTCTTGAAAAGTCTCCCTGTCCATCCAAGGATACATGTTCCCCCAGTTTGAAGATCACTGTATTAAGATTGTGTTTTACCAGTAAGAGAGTATAAGCCATGAGAAAGGAGAGACTGGATCCAGAAAACAGGAATGTAAAAGCATGTATTCCATTTTATATCTTTATTCCAATTTACATCTTTGTTATTATTTTAGTGGGTTCCAAGAGGCAGGTGAAGTAAAAATGAAAATAAAATGAACTAAGTTGTTGCCTCACTTATTATATCCCACATGTTGTAATGAGTGAATAGAATTTTTAGGGGCCTGTTATTTTTGTTACTTCTTTTTTGAGGATTCCATTCTAGGAAAGGATTTAATGCTATGGAATAATTTATGGTTCGGTGTCTATTTCAGCTTTATGGCCTCGTGCTAGGTAGGCTACGGGCTCCCTGCGGATTTTTTTGGCCGAAATATGTGACATTTTCAATATTAAACAGAGTAAAACATACTTCTTAAAATATGGAATAATTGACTTTGAAATTGGTAGGTCACTTAGTCTTTTACCTGGTATAGGAATTCTGTTTGATATCCTTCCCAATCTTTTTAGACAGTGTTTCAAAAGCCAAGATCCTGTTAGGGGGGCAGCGGATTCATCACTAGGTAGTAGGTCTTGCTAATCACACTCCACGCTCGCCTCTCTTTAACTTAGTTGCATGGATTCCAACTTTTGGAGCAACAAAGAATTAGCCTGTTTTATTTTCTTCCCAATAGCCATCTACTCTTGGAAGCCATCTATTATCTACTTCTTTAGTCTCACCAGTTCCAGTTTCTTATTCCTCACATGATGTAGTTTATAGACTCACCGTCCTGTGTACACTGCTCTGAATCCAGTATAGATTTTTATGTCTTCTGCAGATGGTCCAAACTTGAAGAATGGTCCAGCCTCAAATATGATGTTCAGATTTGAACGCAGTACTCCAAAAGTCATCTGACGAGTACCGTAATAATACTAAAATGTCCCTTGAGTCCATTCAACACTGTTCTGCTAATGTTGCCACCAAATCTCTCACACCATTAACTCCCATCCTTCTTTGTTCAGCCAGACCCTCCCTTCTTTCCCATGGATGCTTCTCAAGCCAGGATAGCATCATGTACCTAAGTAACTGCTTTTTAGAACTTACACTCTGAACTTTATATTTATCTCAGTATAGTTCCATTTGTGTGTCATCACCAATTTAAGAAGTATTTCCTCCCTGGATGCAGAGATAACATCACCTTGGACATTGGTGATTGACATTCAGTGACATATTAATAGATAGGACCTAATTACTTCAAATGTTTCAGAAAGTTACTTCATCAGACCACCAGATGGAGTAATACACTTATATTTACCATTGCCTGGATTTTTAACTTTTGTCTTCCGATTAAATCCTACCAATTTTAGTTTATGGCTGTTTATAATCTAACTATTTTATTATAACCTTATTTATGTGTATTTCTCTTATAATTTTGGAACATTTTGTATTAGAAAACCTGTGGAAATTAACATTTGTTTAAAATTCTTCAAACACTTTTGAACTTTCTTAAAGCCCAAGTTGTATCAAACCTGATACGTAAGAGTGTGAATGCAAAGGACTGCTAGAAGTTCTCCTGGCTTTTCTCCTACCTAGTGGGCTCTAGCTTTTCAGCATCGTTTTGGTTGGCCCCGGTGCTCAGACATCTCTGGGTATTCTCATTACCTTTGTGCTTTCATTCAGCCCCATAGCTTCAAATACTCTCTGTATGCCGATGACTCCGAGTTTCATCTACACTGCTTACCTCTCCCTGACCTTGGGACTTGTCTACTTTAGCTGGTGTCAGAACAGCCTTCAGACTTGATGTGTCTGAGTAGGACGCGTGGTCGGTGTTCCCCAGCCCCACGCAGACCTGTTCCTACTCCTCGCCTGCTCTTCCCATCTCAGTAAAAAGCATTGACCCCACCTCGTCACTGGCCCACCAAGGTCCCTCATGAGTCCTGTCAGTGAGTCACGTTGGGTCCGCCTTCAAAAACATGTCCTGGATCTGTTCTCACTACCTCTGCTGCTAGCACCCTGATGCAAGCCACTGTCATCTGTCATCCGGACAACCCTAACTCCCTGACTAGTCTCCCTGGTGCCACTCTATGCCTCCTGCTATCTTTTTCCCCACTTAGTAGCCAGAGCGAACTTTTAAAAACATAGTTTAGATCATGTCACTTGCCCTCTTCAAAAACCTATGAAAGCTTCCTATTTATATGTAGAATACTTAACCTGTTCCTTAACTGTGGCCTGTGGGACCCCACATGATCCTGTCTGTCTCTCCTTCTGACTTCCCTCCTTCCACTCTCCCTTTCTCTCCTGGCCAGTCTTCATGATGTTCCTTCATCCTGTTCCCTCCATAGGGCCTTTGAGTATGTTGGTCCCTCACTTTATCCAGATATCTGTTCAAATGTCAATTCCTCAGAGAAACCGTCCTTAACTGTCTTTACATCAACTTAGGGATAAGACAGAGTTTAGGTAGATTAATTTTTTATGTTGATGTTTGTATTACATATATCTAATAATATTCTTTCAATTTATTTTCTAACAGAGAAAAGACGAGACCCCCCAAATGGTAAGCTCTTTAATATTGATCAAAAAGATCTTAAATTATAGTTTAATCCTTGTAAAAACATGTATCATACATTAATACCTGATACTTAATATCTGTGATCAAATACTGTAATTTATTATGTTCTTTTTTTGGGGGGAGGGGTATTGGGGAAGGGGAACAGCCAAGTTGTTGTCCTTCAGTCTTAGTTGTGGAGGGCGCTGCTAGCTCAGCTCCAAGTCTAGTCGCCATCTGGCTGCCTGTCGGCAGCTCGCAGCAACTCAGCTCAAGGTGCCGTGTTCAATCTTAGCTGCGGGTGGGTGTAGCCCACCATCCCATGTGGGAGTCGAACTGGCAACCTTGTTAGGAACATGTGTTCTTACCAGCTGAGGCACCCTGCCACCTGTTGGCAGCTCAGTGGCAGCTCAGCTCAGACGCAGCTCACTGGCCCATGTGGAAATCGAACCAGTAACCTGTTGCTCAGAGCTCACACTCTTAACCAACTGAGCCACTCGGCCAGCCCTAGTATGTTCTTATTTTGAAATAACAGATGATGGATGTTGCTTAGAAATGTACTGTTTGGTTTGCTTTTTTCTAGGATGAAGGAAGACTACATAGGGGGAAGATCACTATTTGTAGATCTTCATTCTGTATTCAAAATTGATTAAGTTTAGAAACTTGACAAAGTGGCTTTAATATCTTCTTAAAGGCAGTAAATTTTGCCTAGCATATTTGTTCATTTCCTACTTTAGATTTATCCTTTTGTCTTGTTTCAAAATATTATTTCACAGTGGTAATATAAAACTAGCCCCTTTCAGAGCGAGCAATTACTATGATGGTATGTTTAGAACTAATAATAGCTATACATAACCCTCCTTAATTTGATAATGAACTCTTGAAGTATTATGAATTCATTTATTTAAAAAATATATTATATACTGAAAGTAACACCAAGATACAAAGGACAAAGTCCCAGACCTCTAGGCCAGAGATTCTCATCCTTGACTCCATAAACACTCCCTGAAATTGGGTACTAAATTTTATAAGTGTATATGTTTTTTTCCTCTGGAGTCTCCCCAGAGAATGTGGTTTTCCTCACATTTAAATGTGACCCTCTGAAGGTAAGTAACTATTGCCCCAGGAGATCTCTTTATAATGGGGAATTTGGCTGCTGCTTTCTAAAAGCATTTCAGATCTTCTCATCAGAATTTAGAATGATTAATTACCCAAGGTAACACTTAATACCGAGCTCTTAACATATAACAACTGCTGGTGATTCTTGGGGCTTGTTTCTTTTAAACAGCTATATTGCCCTCTGATTTTATCCTTAAAAATTTTCCCCTTATAAAAACATGAACCAAGTACTGTGTATTCAATTTTGGGTTATTTGCCTTGTAATATTTTTAAATGTCTGACTACCTTCAGTAGTGCTTACCACATGCCAAGTACTGCGTACTTTGACTTTCTCTTTTAGAGGGAAATTTTAATACTAACTTTATAGGGCTGCTGTGGAGATTAAATGATGTACTCATAGCACTTAATAAATACTAGTTACTGTGATGACAATGACAACAATAATAATAGCAGCTACTATTTAATGATCATTTACTACCTGCCAGGCACTGTTCTGCAACCTAAAGAAGTAGCTCCTAATATCCTCATTTGATAGATGAGCAAACTGGGGCACGGATATGTTCACGGTCATGTTACTAGGAAGCAGGGTTCAGTCTCAAGCAGTGTAACTCCATAGTCGCTTCACCACTGTGCTACGGCAAAATTCTGAAAGAGAACCTGAGACCCAGAGAGAGTAAATGCCTCCATTGATGCAGTTCGTGTGTGACAGGCAAAGGAGACAGCCGCTGAGTCAGAAGTCATGCCTCTGTGAACCTTTAGAGCAATGTTATCATTCTTTCTCCTGGAGGTGTGCTCAATATTTTCATCTCTTCATTAAATTACTTTGCATTCTGTGAATGTATATTGAGGACCAGTGGGGAACGCTTCCTAGTGGTGGCGACTTTGGGGAAAGTAACCTGAGATTTTAAAGGGGCGATGTTGTACAAATAGTATAGTTAAGGTTAAGGGTATAAGAACTTCATGGTTCATAAAATAATTTAGTATTTTCAATGCACATAAAATGGATTTCTGAAGAGGTATGTAATCTGTGAATAGATAGAATTTGGATATTTTTCTTTTAAAGATTTTTTTGGGGAATTGGGGGAGAGGAACAGCGCTGGGGAATTGGGGGAAGGGGAACAGACAAGTTGCTGTCCTTTTGTTCTTCAGTCTAGTTGTGGAGGACATTGCTTCACTGGCCCATGTTGGTATTATCATTGTGCTGTTCCCGGTTGAGGCAGATTGGTCACCGGCCTCTGGACAGTCGCTCACGGCAGTTGCCAACCACTCACAGTAGCTTATGGCAGCCCACTGCAGCAGGGCCTGCAGCCTACACCGTTGCTGGCAACTCACAGCAGCCCAGCTCCAGATCGAGCTGTTGTTCACCATCTTAGCTGTAGAGGGCGCAGCGTCACTGGACCTCATGTGGGATCTGAACCGGGGCCCTGCTGCTCAGAGCTGGCGTCCCAAGCCAACTCCTAACCAACATACCACACAGCCAGCCCTGGATAGTCTATATGACAGTTGATGTCTCATAATTTTATTACCCTTACTAAGAGAGATACTCATAATTAATGCAGTGTTTTTCTCTACATGGGATTGACCTTGCTTTTAAATCTTTATAGTTCTAACCACTTTGGTGCAGTAGTCCCAAACTTTTTTCTTCACATAAATGGAGAATTAAAAAATATCATTAAAAGGCAGTTACATGGCATGTATTGCCAATATTTGTACGTATTTATTGAGAAAATATATATAACGTGACATTAATATGTTACATTAACAATAAAGAGTGAAGTAACTAGGACTAGAAGCCTGCAGCAGTTGTCTTGCTCCCTCTCCTGTGTGGAGGAGACCCCTGCTGTGGAGGCAGTGTGTTCCTTTTCTGAGTTTGGGGCACAGCCACTAGGTGGCAATGGATGCCTTCCCCACCTTGCTGGTCCTGCAGGCGCTTTGTTTCAGGTCCTCATTTAGGTTACCAGTTTAGCAGCTCTCTTCCAATGTAATCGTTAAAAAGACACCTTATGCGGAAGTAACATGTTCCTGAACTGCAATTCAGTGTCTTCCTCACTAACTCCTAATCCATACATCTTTTTTTCTTTATTGGTCCAGTCTCACCTTTTAGCTTAGACGCTTTCCAATGATTTGTTCTCAGCTTCATGACTGCTTGACATCAGAGGCCTCTGGGCCACCTGTCTCTCGACTGTTTTACCTTGGTGAGAGTTCCCTGTTTTTTGTGTAATTAACGGGAAGACTAGTTTGTTCTCTTAGTTTTCAAATTAACTAGAAATGCTGTTCAATGAGAATATTAAAAAACCTTTTCTGTGACAGCTCTCCTTAATCAGAAGAAGGTGATTTGTCATTTGACTTTTTTTTTTTAAAGGAAGGGAAACAGCCCCCTCCATTATATATTTACTTAGTACATATTCTTAGGATAAGTATAATTTCATAAATGGAATAACTAGATTAAACTTTATTAGAAAGGATTCAAGAGTATAGCTGTTACCAGATCCTCCATAAACATTATTAAAAAGTGACCCTGCCTTATACAGGTTATCACTAAGTGTGTCATTTTTGGAAACTAATATTTAACTGGGCTTTAGAACACCATTTTAAACTTATTTCCTAACACCTTCAAACTCTAAAGTAAATGGCTGTTATAAACCTAAAACCAAGTATCTCATCTCTTTGATGTATAGAAACCCTTTTTTCTAAATTTTGAAAATTATTAGTAAATATTTATTAAATGATGAACTGTTGGCACTACAAACTGATAAAGAAGTAATATATAGTAGAATTTGTAAAGTTAGCATTGTCAGTCACTTTATGGTTTGACTTTTGTGTAGAAGACCTAAGAGTTAATAACAGAAAGATTAGTGGTCTGGGAACCAAGATAGCAGAGTTCACCTTTGCCTTTGTCACTTACTGTGTGACTTCAGACAGGCCACCTGACACTTCTTGCCCTTTTCATCTATAAAATGAAACATTTAGAAAAATTCTCTAATTTCCCAGCTAATAGTAATTTTCCATACATCTCTTTCATCTGGGTTTTCTTATATAGACTTAAATAGTGTTTTAAGGAGTACTAATGTAGTTAATGTGTAATGGCACTAAATAGCTAATGCCAAGGCTTTATGAACTGCATGGCAGGTGTGGAACAGTATATCCGTACCTGATTTGGGGTAGAGGGAGGAGGGGAAACACAGTCTGGCTGCAGTATGAGTTCAACTTTGTTATTCATTCCACATACCACTGATATTTTGTATCTGTCCTTTTCATCCTTGAACTTTCTTCAGACATGGCTGTTATTTTCTCTAATAACTGATGAATGGGGTTTACAAGAACCTTAACTTCGTTATTTCCCAGAAAAGAATTTAATAGCTTGGATAATTTAAACAATTAAACCTAACTTTATCCAACTCTATTACCATTTAGAATAGCCATAGTATAATAGGTTACTTTTATATAAGCTAAAGCAGCATAAAAATATTTTTTGTTTTTTTTGTTTGTTTTGTTGTTGTTTTGTAAATTCTAATTATAGTTGACCCTTGAATAACATGGTTTGAACCGTGCAGGTCCACTTATAGAAGGATTTTTTTCAGTTAATATGTATAGTACTATAAATATATTTTCTAACTATATGAACACCTATTTCAGGAAGGGTGGTATGTATAAAGAGAGTAACTAACTCTAGTACTCCCAAATCTGTCTCAAGTCAACTCTAGTACTCCCAAATCTGTCTTAAGTCAATTCTTAAATTCTATTCTATTTATACTACTAAGTATAAAATTAAGAGACTAAATAGTAATTTGCAGCATCGTATTGTGTTGCTGAGACTGATTGGTAAAGATAAATTATGAGAAGGAAAGCAGAACTGAGAATGAGAAGTAAAGTCTTATTACTAGATCAGTCTACAAAGATATGAGTATGACCCCAATTCAACCCCCTAACACTGAATTCTGGGTAGTCCATGTCCCCCCTTTTTTTGGAAACTACAGCAAACACTGAAATCTGATATCCATGCAACTTTGAAAACCCAAGCCTTTATCTACTGTTTAATAAGCCTTCTGTATTGCTTACCTCACCTTTAATTCTTGATCCAGTTATTTTCCCTCACACAGAATCATCTTTTAATGATTTTATCCATATTATTCACTAGCTTCCGTTTTTTTCAAGAAGAATTTGTTTCTTGCCAACATGAGTATTCCCATGGAATTTTGTATGAAATTATAAGTAGAGCTTTTAAACATTTGCATATTATACTTATATGTAAGTAGACTTTGAATATTGAGGAAAAATAGCTGAATTTTGGTGATATTAAACATACATTTTTCCAAATTGTTTACTTCTTTGATAAGGTGTTTCATGCTTTTCATGATTTAATTTTAGCTCTATTTCATCTTGAATAGTAGAGTTGGGAGAGAGAAAGTAGATTATAGATAATTTACCCACATAGATAAATATTTTTCTTTCAGATAACTTTAATAGGATACTTTTGAGGTTTTCAGCACAATTGAAGAATTACTGTCAAATTGGCACTTAGTGATTGATTACCTAATATACATTAGCCTATAATTTCTTCAGATTGCTATTTGCCATTCTGTGATTGTGTGGGGGTCCCCAGGACCACCCCCACAGTTGGTGATTTGCAGAAGGACTCACAGATCTTAGTATATAGTGGTGCTCATGGCAAAGGTGTGTCACAGTGAATAGATACAAAACGAAATCAGCTGTGGGGAAGACACACAGCGTTAATGCTGGAGAAAACCACACAAAGGTGTTTTCCCATTGGAGTCACAGGGGATGCACTTAAATTCTCTCCTAATGAATTGCGACAACACAGCGTTGTGTAAAGGAAAAGCTGAGTTTATTGTTTAAAGCCCAGGGTTTATTGGTGGCTAGTCACATAGGTGTCCTCTGTCTAGCACAAACCAAGGTTCTAGACTCCCAGAAGGAAAGCAGCTATTAAGCACAAACCACATTATGACCATAAACAGTGTAAAAACAAGTGAGCCCATGTTATCATAGAATAATGAGAACCCTCTTGAAATCCAAGTTCCCAGATGCCAGCTAAGGGTGGACTCTGCAAGTGGGCTTTTCTAAACATAGCAGTTTCAGACCTACTATGGTAACTTTTTCCTGCACAGTGGTGATTTCATTTTATGCAGTGTTATGAACATTGTCATTAATGTAATCGTCTCAGAGGAATTTGGTCTGATAGGAGGTTTTATAGGAGAATCATATATGAAAATGTAACCTCTAAGGAACGTGTGTTGCCCTTTAGGTAACTTTATGAGGAATTTTTACGTTTAATACATTTTATTCAGAATCTCATGCTTTTAAGACCAAGAATATTTTTGTGAATTATAAAACAGGTGTAACTCCTAAAGATGTTATTAATATAATAATATCCGAAGGTGCCTGAGATGTTTTTACTGTTGACCGTTGCAGAAGATAAATGTTTTGGGAATTTTTTTCATCTTAAGTTTTTGAGCTGTATACTTCTGATTGTTGAAGTATATGTATACTGATGGGGAAAATATTACTAGACTTAAATATGGCAGTTTTGGGAAAAAATGGCAGTAATCATTGTATTAGTACATGTTTTCTAATGAACTACTGAAGTTGAAACAGAGGTAGGACTAGATTACTTTGTTAGATTTAAAACAAAGTGATGGCTCTTTTACGTTTCTTTTACTGTTCCTGTTATGTGATATATACCACTTTTCCATTGAGTAATGTGTTGGATGTGAGGCTATTACAGTCAAAATTTAAGGGTTCAGACCAATTCAACTTAAATTCTTGTTGAAAGTTTATATTCCTGATGATATTTAATGTTATAAAAATGCCAATTTTGCTTTGAAATAATGTGCTAATGTGTTTTAAGAGTTTATTAAAGGTTTTTAAAATTTAGGCAGCACTTCATTATTTTTAAAAATTAACCTGCAAGTTTAAAATTCAAATAATTTATAGTAACAAAGTGGTCTTACTTCAAATTATGATATTTAAATTATAAATTATGACCGTGATAATTGTTAAAGTATATCCTTTTCATATTATTTTGAATTTTTTTGTAGGTCCTAACCTACCCATGGCAACAGTTGACATAAAAAATCCAGAAATCACAACAAATCGATTTTATGGTTCACAAGTCAACAACATCTCCCATACCAAAGAAAAGAAAAAAGGAAAAGCTAAAAAGAAGAGATTAACCAAGGCAGATATTGGAACACCAAGCAATTTCCAGTAAGACAGTTTTTTTGTTGTTTTTACGTTTACTTTTGATTTATTCATTGCAACTCTTGATTTTTAACTTGTTAGAAAATTTTGTTTTCTTTTCAGTAGGACCCTCATATTTATCACTTGATGAACTTTAGCTATAGCTTTTGTTGGACTTTTTTTTTTTAAGTTTTTTTTATTGGTGAATTGGGGAGATGGGAACAGCGCTGGGGAATTGGGGGAAGGGGAACAGACAAGTTGCTGTTGTTTTGTTCTTCAGTCTAGTTGTGGAGGACGTTGCTTCACTGGCCCAAGTTGGCACCATCATTGCGCTCTTCCCGGGCGAGGCAGATCAGTCGCCGGCTTCTGGACAGCCGCTCACTGCGGCTGCTGGCTACACATGGTAGCCCATGGCAACCCACTGCAGCAGGGGCTGCAGCCTACGCCGTCGCCGGCGACTCACGGCAGCCCAGCTCCAGGTTGAGCTGTTGTTCAGCATCTTAGCTGTGGAGGGCAATGTCACTGGCCCTCATATGTGGGATCTGAACCGGGGCCTTCTGGCGTCGCAAGCCAGTTCTTAACCATTGAGCCACTCGGCCCGGCCCAGTTGGACTTGTTTTAAGCTATTGCTCAATGGACTTTCTGTGCATCTCACAGTTTATTTACTTTTCCACTCATTAGAAAATAAAAACTAGATAAAGTTGTTTCTTTACTAATTGTTGGACATAAAAATTATTCTCAATTTTCTCTATAAAAAAATGGTATTTGGAAATTGCTTAGAGGCATTGTCCTAGTCTGTTCGGACTGCTGTTATAGAATACAATAGACTGGGTGGCTTATAAACAACAGAAATTTATTTCTCACGATTTTGGAGGCTGGGAAGTCCAAGATCAAGGCTCTTGCAAGATTTGGTGTCTGGTGAGGACCCACTTCCTGGTTCACAGACGGCGATCTTCTTGCTGTGTTCTCACATGTTGGAAGCGGGTGTGGGAGCTAAGACCGCTTTTCTTTTTTTAGTTTCAGGTGTGCAAAACAACATAATGATTAGACATTTACACCCCTCACAAAGTGATAACCCCACCAAGTCTGCTACCCCTCTGACATCGTATATAGCTGTTACAATACCATTGACGATTCCCTATGCTGTACTCTACATCCTGTGGAAAATAAATTTAAAAAAATACATATATTTTATATATATATATATATATATATATATACATATATATGTATATATATGTATATATATATGTATGTATGTTTAATTGTAGTTGATATTCAACTTCAGCCTCAGGTGTACACCGCAGTCAGTGCTCAGGCATCTACACAACCTATGAAATGATCCCCCTGATAAGCCCAGTGCCCATCTAGGACCTCACATGATTTTCACAACATTATTATTATTATTATTATTTTTAAAGATTTTATTGGGGAATTGGGAGGAGGGAAACAGCGTTGGGGAATCGGGGAAGGGGAACAGACAGGTAGACAAATTGCTGTTTTGTTCTTCAGTCTAGTACTCTTCCCGGGTGAGGCAATTGGTTGCCGGTCATTGGTCGGCCACTCACAGCGGCTCCCAGTAGCTCACACTGGCTACCAGCTGCTCACACTGGCTGCCAGCCATTCACGTAGCTCACGGCAGCCCACTGCAGCCCTGCTGCAGTCTACGCCGGCGACTCACGGCAGCCCAGCTCCAGGTCGAGCTGTTGTTCATCATCTTAGCTGTAGAGGGCGAGCATCCCTGGCCCTCAATATGGGATCCAAACTGCAGCCCTGCTGCTCAGGGCTGGTGCTCCCAAGCGAGCTCTTAACCACTGAGCCACTCGGCCGGCCCCTTTACAACATTATTGATTATATTCCCCACACTGTATTTCACATCCCTGTGACTATTTTATGACTACCAATTTGTACTTTCTAATCCCTTCACCTTCTCACCCATTCCCCAACCCCTCCTCCCATCTAGCAACCATGTTTGTTCTCTGTATCTTAGAGTCTCTATTTCTGTTTTGTTTGCTCATTTATTCTGTTCTTTAGAGTCCACATATAAGTGAAATCACGTGGTATTTGTCTTTCTCGGTCTGACTTATTTTTCTTAGCATAATGTTCTCTGGGTCCATCCATGAAGGGGTGTCTTTTTTAAGGGCACTAATTCCCATTCCTGAAGGATCCAGTCTCATGATGTGATCACCTCCTAAAATTCTTACCTCTGAATACCATCACATTGGGGATTAGATGTCAACATATGAATTTTCAGGGGGCACAATCTATAATATATAGCAAGCACCAAACCCTTGTATTTATATGACATATTTCAAGTATTTTCATATACATCATTTCACTAGCTCATTATAAAACTCCTATCCTGGGCCGGCCGAGTGGCGCGATGGTTAAGAACTCGCTTGGGATGCCAGAGGGCCCCGGTTCGGATCCCACATATGAGGGCCAGTGACACTGCCCTCTACAGCTAAGATGCTGAACAACAGCTCAACCTGGAGCTGGGCTGCCGTGAGTCGCTGGCGACGGCGTAGGCTGCAGTCCCTGTGGCAGTGGGTTGCCATGGGCTACCGTGTGTAGCCAGCAGCCAGCGTGAGCGGCCAGCAGCCGCAGTGAGCGGCCGTCCAGAAGCCGGCGACTGATCTGCCTTACCCGGGAAGAGCGCAATGATGGTACCAACTTGGGCCAGTGAAGCAGTGTCCTCCACAACTAGATTGAAGAACAAAAACGACAGCAACTTGTCTGTTCCCCTTCCCCTAATTCCCCAGTACTGTTCCCATCCCCCCAATTACCCAATAAAAAAAAGTCTTAAAAAAAAACAAAAAAAAAACTCCTATCCTGTCATATATATAGTGCTTGTATTCTTATGGTAGTTTGACAGTTAAGAAAATGAATGCTCAGAAAAATAGTGCAAAAATGTTAAGACCCAGTAGTAGAGCCCGGGCTAGAATCCTGGTCTCCTGAAATACTTGTACAGTTTTTCCCTGATTATGGTGTGTCTATGACAACTATTAGTTAAGGTAAAAAATTCACAGGTGGGTTGGATTTCATATAGATCATGTTTTTTAATGCCCTTTGTGCATTTATTTTTCTATTTTTTTTTCCCCTGTCTTCTACTTTAGGCACATTGGACATGTTGGTTGGGATCCAAATACTGGCTTTGATGTAAGTGTCTTTTCAAGCCATTAACATTACTCTAAATATGTGGGAATGTTATGGCCTATATTTAGATTTTTATTTTTATTATTTATGTGAATTTTAGTGTTTATTTGAATGTGCTTGTGTTTATGTACATATACCACTGAGGTTTAAAACCATAGTTTTTTTCTATCATGCATGGCTAATTTTCAAAAGAGAAAGTTTTTGTATGCCTTGGCTTTATGTCTTATATAAATAAAATCTTTGTGTTTTGAAAGCCAAGAGAAGAAATTTTTTCCTGCTAAATGATCATTTCAGGGGACTATGTACCAAATTATTAGAAAGTACTGTAACAAAATTCTAAATATATATTGGGTTGTCGGGAAAGTCATGACGCATTTTTGCATTAAAAACATAGAAAAATACGTCATGACTTTCCCGACGACCCAATAGTTGTTGCTTTCCATTCTGTTTTTGGCAATTTCATCATTCATCAATTTATAGCACTGTGAGCAAGGTAGGTGAAACTGCTGGCAAAAATAAAAGTGTTCAACATTTTATCTCTATTTTGGTTACCTAAGTAATATGTATCTCATACTTGACAGATAATTAGGGTTTGGAAAAATTATTTTGAAAAGAAATATTAGTGACCGAGGATAAAATTCTTTCTGATGGTTTTTGTTATAACTACAGTGTTAACTCCACAAACCTTCATTGATTGGCTCTTTGTGTTGGGCACTGTCTAGGGTGCTGGGGGTTATAAGGAGGTCTTGCCCTCAAATTTTCAAATTGATTGACTTTTTTTCTGTTTGTGGTTATGTCTAAATCCTATTTAGGACAAGGTGGAATAGGTGAGCATTAAAGATGTCTGAATCAGGAGTGGGTTAGAAAAATCTAAATGAGGTGCCTTCTCTTCGAAGGTAGGAGCAAAAAAGAGATGACATAAAATATAAAATCTCTTTTTAGGTCTTTTTTTTTTTTAATAAGGAAGTTTAATTGGCATATAAATAATGTAACCATATTAAAAGTTTATAAACTTAAAAGAAAATAATTTCGTAAAGGGCAACAGCTGAGAATTCAATTTTATTATGCTCATTTTTAAAACTGGGATAGATTTTATAGTTAGTGGTTATTTTATCTGTTGTAGCTGAATAATTTGGATCCAGAATTGAAGAATCTGTTTGATATGTGTGGAATCTCAGAGGCACAACTTAAAGACAGAGAAACATCAAAAGTCATATATGATTTCATTGAAAAAACAGGAGGTGTTGAAGCTGTTAAAAATGAACTGCGAAGGCAAGGTAATTTTTATTTCTATTTAGGTATTCCGATCTATTTTTTCTTTTGAATCTTGAGGTTACTTTCATGGAAGACAATTACGTGCATATATGTGAACCTTCCTCAAGCAGAATGTTTGCGTTTTGGCCCAATGTACTATGTTTTACATTATTTTAGTGTAACTAAAATACTTGACAAGGTTTTGCATATTACTAAAAAGTCTTATATTAAGTTCATGAAAATCCATACAAAATCTTGTGGTTATTCTATTTTAAAATAAAAAATTATAGTTGCCTACTCTTTTACGTAATGAATCTTAGGAGCCATTAAAGTTGCTTTTACTTGAATTCAGAAGTAGTAATTTAAATATAACCACTACCTAATTAGAAAAATAAAAGCATTTTCAGAATATAAATAATGAAAATAGTTCTTTGTTTTTTGGAAATACAAACATTTTTTTCTTAAGTAAGCACAAAATTTGTCATTTGGTACCCGAGAGCACAAATAACTTGGAACCTTTAAGATCAAAGCACCTTATATTTTAGTTGTATCTTAATAATTATCACAAAAAAATGCAAATACATATCTCTAAATTTTCCAGTATGACAATCATTTGTTTGCCGTCTTATTTATTTGGGGCTGCTTTTCTTCTTAGTTTTTACATACGCATAACAGACAGTATAGCAAAACAAAAGCTCCAGTTAGTAATGTGTTCTACTGAAGAATTTACCTGTCCTTTTAACTTAGATGTTTGACTTACCTGAATTTTTTTCACCGCTGATGTTCATTCAATCTTTGATTCATTCATTCATGCTGATATTTAGTAAACATTATTATGCCAGCACTAGTCTCTACTCAGGATATTAAAATATAAAGGTATGGTTACCCTAAGAAATCTTATATTGGGTTGTCAGAAAAGTCATGACGCAGTTTTGCAACGAAAAACTTAGAAAAATACGTCATGACTTTTCCGACAATCCAATAGTTTAGTGTGAGAATAGATAATAAACAAGTATTTGGCCATAATTACTGTTGTGGAAATGCAATGCTAGTTCCCCTGAAACTAGTATGACACTAATTTATCTTATTTTGTGAAAAAATTATATCTCCAAATTCTATGGCTTGTTAGTAAGACCATCTTGAGCACTGTACCATTGTTGTTAATAGTGTAAGGGTACATGTAAAAGCCACAGTTCCTGTTAAGTGTACAGATGATGGGAGGTCTTGAACCCTTGTGTGCTCCTTTACTCTTTCTCCACTGTTGCCACTCACCTTCACCGTACACCATCAAATGGTGCTCGGGGTCTCTGAGCGCTCTGAATTCATAGGTGTGAGTTATTCCTGACATTTATTAGACCGTCCATACTACTGCCCTTCACCTGAATGCCTGTACGCAACAGTGGACTGTAGTAACTTGATTGGGTTCGTTTTTTAAACTTTATCATTATTGCTTGTCATCCTAACTGATTTTCAAACGCCAAATTTAGGCAAGGTCTTTCCTCGATTGAATTACCTAAAACAAACAAAAACAGACAACAGGCATTAAAAAAACATACTTTGGGAACAAAGTTAATTCTTATCATACTCAAAAACCTAACTTCCAATGTGAAACTGTTTACACACCAAAGAATGATTTTGTAGAAGATAAATTCTATTTAAAGGAAGAGTAAATATTTTTCCTTTCATTAAGAAAATGTTTTCTAGGCAGAGCATGTAATGTGTTCATAGTGTGAAAAAAAAATAGATGTTTATGAAGTTGTCTTTAAAATCTATTTAATACCTACTGAATCAAATCCTTTGAAACTTATTTTGTAAAATCATGTAATCAAGTTTATAAAGAGTAGATTTGTGAGTTCCAGTGTATCTTTTTTGTGTATATGTACAATTGTCTGAGGTGCATTAATTCAGAATAATCTGCCCTGTAGGTCCACCACAGTGGAGTGGTATGTATGTGGGGTGTTACCTGACCTGTGCACTAAATTATGCATGCTGCGATGTGTTTGTTTTCAAAAAATCAAGAGTTCATTTATCCTGCCTTCAAATCTAACATCCAGTGAGGTTTTTTGCCCTCTACTCAAACTAATGTTTTGGCAAATAGATGGTTAAAGTACAAAGAAAATTCATTTCTCTATGAGTCAGAGCTCATGTTTCGTCTTTAATTTAGATAATTTTATTTAAATTCTGTGGATTTTTAAAAACTCACCCACAGCACCACTGTTGTTTTTATTAAATAATATTTACTTTTAGTAATTGCTTTTCGCACTTGACATTATTTCAATAACCTATATTAAATATACTTACATTTTTACATTGATTTGGGGCAGGGAGGGAAGACTAAACATAAATAACCTCGCAATTAGGTCTATAAATGTCTATTCTGGGAGTTGGTATTCCCATAAATTTTAATTTGTGTCGACTAACATTTTTCTGTTTGCTTTATCTTGATGAGAGTGCATAACAGCAGTTCATTAATATTTCCTGAATTCTATAATACCATGTTTCTTTTAAGTGTTATATTTTATCATTTTTGTTTATAATTTCTATAGATATCAAATATCTAGAGTTATCTACCAATTACTCTTAATACTGATCTGAAACTTAATTACTTTTAAATATTTTAACTTTTCTTTTTAATGTACTATCAAGACCATTTTATTTCTGTAAGCTTCATTCGGTCTTTTTTAACTAAGCTTTGATAATAAGAGCAGTTTTTTAATTAGTTGTAACTTCTGTTTCATGTTCTTCACTTTCTTTTTGAATCTTAGAAATACTGTTGTGATTCTGATTCTGGTGTTTGTGGTGACACTTAAGAGTTGTGAGCATCTATCAGAGTTTCCCATAATGGTGTGTGCTATCTGCTTAGCAGACCTTTTTCTCCATGTAAATCTGCTAACGTTGTGCCATCTGCCCCTTCCTGCTTCATTATTTAATTCACATTTTTACTTTGGGATATAGCATGTCTTCTGCATACTTTCCTTTTTATGTAGGCATAATACATACTATGAAAACAGAAAGTTGGTAATAGGTGTTTTCCTAATGAAAATATAGAGATGTTTCTAGTCAGTTTTCCAGACAGTAGAAACACTAAACTTGTGCTGTACCCCAAACTGGACGCAGCTGGCCACTTATCCATTATAAATGAAGGCTTTCCCTTTCCCTGAGCAATGATTCAGTGTCTGTTGGACTGGGTATTGTTGAACCCCAAATTATTCCAATAAATGTTCTTACTACCAAGTTCAAAGGCACTTTCGTTCTCTCTACTGAAGACATATATCATTTTACATGTAAAAGATGATGTGGATCCAGTCCTCGTTGAAACCACCACCAGCAATAACTGACTAAAAACCTTCTGTGGTAGAGTAGGGTGGTGGGTCCTTTTCCTCCTGATTAATAAACAACTAAATTATAAAAGTGCCAGCCTAGACAAATACCATTGGTATTTGAAATATAAGTCTTAAGTTGATTAAAACGAAGTCTTTGTATCTACTTGAAGGATTTGATGTACTCTTATACAGGGAGTATCCGAAATAGATATATACCCTATCCTTTTGGTTTTGCCCTTTAATTACTATGTTAGAAAGGTCTCCTTGCTTTGGATCCGGTGAGAAAATTGGGCATGGCTTAGCTGCAACACCCACACTTGCAGTATGTCTGGAGTGTAAATCATAGGGGCTTCCCTCTGTTGATAGATTGCATCTATTCATATGTGGGATAACTCTCCTGTTGCGGCTATATTATTATTTCCAGTTATAAAAGTTTGTATTCCCGGAAACAATACACTTGTGCATATTGGCCTTTCTGCATACTTCATCTAATGTTTATGATTATATTTGATAGCAAGCATATTTTAAATAGCATGTTTCCTATCATTGTCCCAAATGAAATGGGAGGATGCCATTTTATTTCCTTTAGAGTGAGCAGGGTTTTATTGTTTGTCTCTGATATCATTGCATTATTGTTAGTTGTAATTAAGGTAGGTATTCGTATTTGTATAAATTGTAGAACTGTCAATCAATATATTATAGTTTGTATCAATAAATACAAATAGCTGTTATAGATCCTAGGATTTCTCTACTCCTAAAAATAGTGAATTTTTCTATTCAGTTTTTAAATGGAGAAATAATGAAGTTTATTGTGTAAATTTGTGTATTCTGTTGGTAAAATTATGCCTCCAGAAATATAACAAATTTTTACTTTGAATTTATTATATTTATTATATATTTATATTTGTTAATTATATTATATCTTACATTTTCACTTAAGTACAGTAAGAATGTAAATATCATTACTACCAGAATAATGTTAATATTTTATTAATTTTAATTTTGCAGTGTGTAGAAATTCTCAGTTTGTTTACAGTGCACTTCTCCTGAAAGTAGTTGAACATTTCATCTGAGCAGACAGCCTCCCTTAATGCCACCACTAGAATTACGGACCATCTTTTAGAAATATAGGATATTATATATTATATTATTATGTATTACTATAGTATATCGCATTATATATTATTTTTTATATTATATACTTATATAATATATAATGTGTATTATTATATAGTCTATATATAAGGAGGGTGCCAAAAAATATATATACACATTTTAAGAAAGGAAAATGACTGTTAAAATTACACTGATGGTAACCACTTTGAGCACCTCTTGAAATTGCAGAAGTCAAAGGTGACTTGTATTCATCTTTTGTTATCTGTATATATTGAGTATTACAATACAATTTTTTCCTTTCCTAAAATGTGTGTACATTGTTTTGGCACCCTCTGTATAGAAAACATAACATAAAGTACAAATGTAAGTTACGTGACAAAAGTTTATATTTTAAAAGAAAAAGTATTATATTTGGGTTTAGTTCAGATTACTTTGAATAAATTCTAATAGGTTATACTACATTAACTATTTAATGCCAAATGTAAATTAATTTTATAAAACAACTACATATACTTGATTCTTTAAAGAGGGAAGGAATCCATTATTTTTATTAAAATGTAAAATAATGCTTATTGACAAAAAATTTTAATTTCATTGTTATATTTTTGTTATAAAAAAGTGTTTATTCTCTTACCTTCAGAAGTGGTGCTAATTCCTGAAAATGAAATTCTACTGTTTTAGCTAATATTGTTTCAAGAAACATCAGGAAGGTGACCTTTAAGCCAAGTATATCCAAATAAAATTGTAAGATATGTGTGGTCAGATATCTTTATAAAAAAAATACAAACATGGTGCCTTTTTTTTTTATTGTCTCGTATTTTTTTATTTATGCATGTTGAAATGAGTTACTTTTTCAGTCTGGTGTGTATGGGGTTAAAAAACATGCCTTTTTTTCTGTTTTTATTTCAGCACCACCACCTCCACCACCATC